TGACTTTGCTTGTACTGTGATACATATATATACCTGCATAGTTACACTTGTTAGGGTATGATCACTGTACTGTTTGTTCTCTTTTATATAACTCTGCATGTGAACTGGCCTTGTGGCCTTTGCTTGTGCTCAAAATGTGTGTTGACTTCGTGATCCACCCTGAGCTTGTTTTGCTTTTCTTGACTGGTCTTGTGACCACTTGTTCTCCCCCACTTTGCCTCTGGGGGTGTGTCAGAATGATATATTGCTTACTTTGTGTAGGCTATAGTGGAGTAGCCCATAAGGGGTACAACCCAATAGGGTTAGTACTTGTACCCAACTCTTTCATAGTTCATTCATTCTCGTTCGTTAGTTTGACAGACTCACTACTCAATTGCACGGTGCTCATATCTTCTAGGGCATAGGTTTTGAGACGTCTCAAAACTAGATTACTATCACGCGGATTATATACAGTGAGAGTGTTTGTTGCTTGGAAAGCAAGGTGTAACTTGCAAAAGTTGCTTGTTCGCGCGAGGCTCCCGAAGCTACAGTTGGCGAAGAATGAGGATTCCACGTTACGCCTCGAGGAATGAAGATCTGAGCCCCTCGGATTTTTCCAGGGTGCTTTGGATTGGCTGCCCAGATTTCAGCCACGGATGTTACGCACCTAGAATTTGGTTTCTTGAGGGCTTCGTTCCCACTCTTGTCTTTCATTCTGCTTGCGCTGATGAAGGTTTGACTTGGGGCCATTCCCAGTCTACCGAAACATGTTCGCGTTTTAATCCTGTAGTGGAATAAGAGCTAAGTTTTCAGATTCTCGGTTTTTTATCAGATTCTCAATTTTTACTACTGACTATCATTTGCTAAAGATTTTTTCTAGACTACAGCTCGCCTAAACAAAGCTTCTATGGCTGACGGTTCTTGGGGTCTCCCAAATTCTATAGAAAAATCGAGTTTCGTACTAGTTACCCGTAGAGCAGAGCTTTTCCCGAAAACTTACACGGGTTACCGCGCCAACAAGTGCTCCCATAAGGTTGAAGGATTTCATGGGCTTCCTGCGATAATCCACGAGGACGACGTGTCAGAGGTCCACTGGTGATCCCCGATTGATCCTAGGGAAGGGTTACAGTCTTGTTGTCCTTGGGGGTTATGGGCGCATTGACCCGCTACTTAACAAGCCCTTTTATCCCAATGGTCTAGTGGTTGGGATTCAGATATGGTATCAGAGCGAAGGTCTCGGGTTCGAATCCCAGTGTGTGCACTCGGGCATCCCAGTGCGGGAGGGTGTCAGAGGTCCACTGGTGATCCCCGATTGATCCTAGGGAAGGGTTACAGGCTCGTTGTCCTGGGGGGTTATGGGCGCACTGACCCGCTACTTAACAAGCCCTTTGATCCCAATGGTCTAGTGGTTGGGATTCTGACACGACGAGCACAACAAGCAAGCTGAAAATTCTCCCGCCATGGCTGAGATGGAATTTTAGAACAACAGAGCTGCGGATGCGAATCCTGCTGCTGCTATCAACCCGATCGCCGCCGACACATCCTTCTCCATTCCGGAACATTTTAAAGGTTGGACTACGACGATCGTCAGGGGCTTCAGAACTGACTTCTAAGCACTCCTCAAGGCGAAGCCGAAACTGAAAAAGATGAAGACACTCAACGACCAAGGTGTGATCTTACACAGCATTCGCACCAAGGCCGTAGAATTTCATACCAAGTACCCTACCACGCGGGAAAAGTCTGCTGCGTCCGTCGCCTCGGTTCATTTTGAGAGCCATAAGCGCATTCAGGTCGATTTCATTATGTCTAAGGAGCTGGAGGTCGAGAAAATTCTGTCGGCATCCTCCTCACATCTCACCACTCTGGCGACCAAGCTTGAAGACTACATACAAGGCCTTAATGCTGACCCAGAACTAGCCGTATCTGATGCGGCTAGGGAACGATACCGGAAGACCAAGGGTGTCTGCATCGAACGGGCCAAGTCAGAGATCGCACTCGCCAAGGACGATATTATGATCCGGGAGCTGGAGAGACAGAGGATCAAGGAAGCTGATGATTTGAAGAAAGCAGCCGCCGCCGAAGAGATGGACCACCTGGAAACGGACCCGGCGATCAACGAGCTTGTTCTACAAGCTACTAAGAAGTACGGGGAGACGATGCGCAAGGAGATTACGGCGAGTGTCGAAGCGAAGCTGACTGCGAAGTTTAAGAAGAGAATGTTGATGGGATCGCAGGATTCCAAGCCAGCCCCCACGACCTCGAAGCCTAAGGCGGACCCGTCCAAGGACCAGAAATCTTCTGGCGCCAAGGCAGATGTACCGAAGGCGACGAGGAAACACGGGAAAGGAAAAAAGAAAGCGAAATCTTCAGGCAACAGTGGAGGGAAGAACCAACAAGCTACCTCGACAAAGGTTCAAGTTCAAAAGAATGGCGGCGACGACCCAGGAAAAGGGCCGCGCAAGAACTAACTGCTCGGGACATCGCACTCCGCCGATTCGGGCAACTGACTGTACGACAAGCGCAGTCTCGCGTTCGGAATCGGGGGGTGCACAACCTCAGCGCTAATGTTCTGTCTCACGACGAAACTAAGGCGCTCGGGATGGGGCTGAAGTTCATACCTACGCCAACATGGAACTTTTCCATCGAAGCAGACCTGCATCAACTTCATCGACAGATCTCCCTCGATTTTTTCTTCAAGGATAAAGGGTCATCGGCTTGATCTCGTTTCCGGGTGAAGAATCCTAACTGGTGGCCTGATCGGGACGTGGTCCCGGAGCAAGTCTTCAAGGAGGCGCAAGCTGACCTATCGTTCCTGATGAAGGCGTGTAGGCCCATGCACGGGCAGAACCTACCACGGAGTGCGCGCATGGCGATACGCTCGCTGTCGCTAAACAGCAGCATCGTCATCAAGCCGGCCGACAAGAACATAGGAATCACCATGATGGACAGACAGCACTACGTCGCGTTTTATCTGGAGCATCTGAACGACAAAGAAGTCTACCATCCTGTCCATCACAATCCGAGTCCTTTAGTTCTGCAGTAGATGATGGAGCTGAAAGTGACGTGGGGACATGCTTTTCCAGACAGCATTTCGAAATGTCTTTTCGATTAACCGCCAGGAGGATGGCACCCAGCGGCATTCTACATCCTTCCGAAACTCCATAAGAAAGTACATGTGGGGCAACCGATCGCTGCTTCACACTCATGGATAACTACTAATGCGAGTCGTTGGCTGAATTCGCAACTAAGACCGCTACTCCTAAAACGAGCCACCTACCTGTGCGATTCTTTTTCACGGCTAGCGAAGCTAGAGACTACAGCCTTTCCGCCAAACATTCTCCTAGCGACGTACGACGTGACCTCGCTCTACCCCAGGTAACTATAGATCGAGGACTTGACGCAGTTAGCAGTTTTTTTACGAGAGAAAACACGCAGCTATCTCAACTGCTTATGGCTCTACTGGGTTGGGTCATGAGGAACTCTTATGTAGAGTTCGACGGCAAAGTGTTTTATCAAGTGCAGGGCACCGCAATGGGAACTCCTATAGCGGTTTGTTTTGCCATACTCTTCATGAGCCGTCTCGATGAGCTGTTAAAGGAGAGGTGGACATGGGTGTCACCTTGTTACCACGTCCGTTATATCGATGATGGCCTTATCATCTGGCCAAGGTCGCGGTCAGAATTAGAGGAGTACCTGCGCACCTTCAACGGCTTGGATCCGAATATCAGGATCACGTGGAACATCTCGGGGCGTTCGGTTGACTTTTTGGACGTGGTCCTCCACAGAGGGCCGCGTTTTACTGAGCGTGGTATCCTAGACTTTGGTACTTTTAAGAAGCCGATGAATAGGTACCTCTATCTCCCCTTCTCCTCCTTCCACCCACGGCACTGCGTTTCATCCGCGCCGAACTGAAGCGTTACCTGCTACGCTCGACCTCGGTGTCAACCTTCCTAGCAACGAAACCCGCCTCTTCCAACGCCTTCGTGATCGTGGTTACCCCCCTGTTTTCCTTCGACCGATCTTCAAGGGCGTCCTATCCGCACATCGTGTACCACTCCTCGCCGAAACTCTCCCGAACCAGCTTTTGCGATAGACCTCTCTTCCCTCTACATGCGGAACCCTAGTCTTGAAGAAAACCTACACACCTGTCAGAGGTCCACTGGTGATTCCCGATTGATCCTAGGGAAGGGTTACAGGCTCGTTGTCCTGAGGGGTTATGGGCACACCGACCCGCTACTTAACAAGCTCTTTTATCCCAATGGTCTAGTGGTTGGGATTCTGACATGGTATCAGAGCAAGGGTCTCGGGTTCGAATCCCAGTGTGTGCACTTCGGGCACCCCAGTGCGGGGGGGTGTCAGAGATCCACTGGTGATTCCCGATTGATCCTAGGGAAGGGTTACAGGCTCGTTGTTCTGGGGGGGTTATGGGCGTACCGACCCGCTACTTAACAAGCCTTTTTATCCCAATGGTCTAGTGGTTGGGATTCTGACAATACCTGTGTCGGCTCGTCTTGGGCTAGGGGTAGTTTTGAGACGTTTCAAAACAAGATTACTATCACGCGGATTATATACAGAGAGAATGTTTGTCGCTTGGAAAGCTGGGTGTAACTTGCAAAAGTTACTTGTTCGCGCGAGGCTCCTGAAGCTACAGTTGGCGAAGAATGAGGATTCCACGTTATGCTTCGAGGAATGAAGACCTGAGCCCCTCGGATTTTTCCGGGGTGCTTTGGATTGGCTGCCCAGATTTCAGCCACGGTTGTTACGTGCCTAGAATTTGGTTTCTTGAAACGTAGTTCTTGCTTAAGGGCTTCGTTCCCACTCTTGTCTTTCATTCTGCTTGTGCTGATTAAGGTTTGACTTGGGGCCTGTCCCAGTCTACCGAAACATGTTCGCGTTTTAATCCTGTGGTGGAATAAGAGTTCAGTTTTCAGATTCTTGGTTTTTAAACAGGGTCAATTTTTACTACTGACTATCATTTGCTAAAGATTTTTTCTAGACTGCAGCTCGCCTAAACAAAGATTCTATGGCTCACTTCTCAACTGCATGGTGCTCATATCATCTAGGGCATAGGACTGCCCCAGTAGCACCACCTCCCCGTGTGCACCACAGGGCACCCACGTGCATGGTGCGCCTGTCATCCAGGGGCATATGGGTGGTCCAGTAGCACCACCATTTCCTGGAGACCAAATGAGAAGGCACGTATGAGCCACATGGTCCTCACCTGCACATATGAGCCACATGGTCCTCACCTGCACGTATGAGCCACATGGTCCTCGCCTGCACAATTGTCTTATTGACCCGGGCATGCAGCTTCTCCAGCAGCACCACCTCCCAGTACGTACGAGCTGCTCATTCCGCACAGACGCGCTTCCCACCCACCACTCAACGCTCACCTGCACTGTCCACTTCTCATCCATGGCATGCGGCTTCTCCAGCAGCACCATCTCCTCATAGAACTTGCAGAGCCGCCTCACCACCAACTTCTCCACCACACTTGCTGGCTTGCCTGCTGCCACAGCCTGGGTGGGCGGAGAGAGGAGGAGGAAGAGAAAAAGCGGGGTGTCAACAGCCTGCTACTAGCAAGCAATCCGCCACCCCGCCACCAAATTCTCTACCACACCCGCTAGCTTGCCCACTGTCACCGCCTGCGAGGCGGAGAGAGGGAGGGAGTGAAAAAGAGGAGTGTTGAGACGTCTCAAAACATCATGCCCGCTGCCACAGCCTGCACGGGAGGCGCCACGAGACTATTTTCCCCACTGTGGCCTGAATGGGGAGACGGATGGGGAGGGGACAAAGGAGACATTGAGCTAACCGTTTGCAATAGCGTTGACCCATCAATTGACATGTTGACCTACCTGTTTGTTAGAACTGGAGCTTGAATAGATTGATTAACAAAGATATGTTAGAATTATGAGCGAATGAATGACTGAACTAGAAAGCAGGTGGGTACATATAGGAAACCTAAAAGTGTTGTATCCTGTAAGAACTACCCCACTACAGCCTAAACAGACTATAGCATATAAGTTTGACACACCCCCATAGGCAAAGTGGGGGAGAACAAGAGGTAAAAAGACCAGTCAAGAAAGGCAAAGCAAGCTCAGGGTGGATCACAAAGTCACCACGCAGTCTGAGAAGCAAATGGCCACAAGGCCAGTTCACATGCAGAGTTATATAAAGGAGAACAAACAATACAGTGAACACAACCTAGCAAGTGTAAGCATGCAGGTATATGTATAAAGAGTACAGTACAAGCAGAGTCAAGAAGAAAGCAAGTGAGGCACAGTAGGTACAAGGCCTAACACAGTACAGAAACGCTGATGATCACAAGGCTGAAGTGCCTTGGTGAAAACATCAGCAGTGTTGGCCTGAGAGGCCACGTAAGCAAGATGAAGCTGGCCACGCTGCTGCACCTCTCGAGCAAAGAAGTAGCGCAGAGCAATGTGCTTTGTTCTGTGCTCCAGTCTGTGCTCCTCACACAAGGCCAGCATGGCCTTGTTGTCGGCGTACATAACTGGAGGAGAACGAGGCGCCTCTCCCAAGTCGGTCAGCAGGTAGGTGAGCCAGCGTAGCTCCTGTGCAGCCATGGCCCCAGCGTAGATCTCAGACTCACAACTGGAGCTGAGAATAGAAGAAGAGCGGGTAGACCGCCAATAGACAGAACCAGAGCCAAGACTGAAGGTGTAACCCTGTGACGACCGCTGCATAGCCAAGTCGTCAACCCAGGAGGCGTCAGCGTGACCAGTGAGGACAACTCGAGCCCGTCCTCCAAGCACGAGCCCCATGCCCGATGTACTGCACAAGTATCGCAACACCCTCTTCGCAGCATCCCAGTGCACCTTTCGGTGCCTGCCGGGAGCCACGTAGCGAGCAAGAAGGCTGAGAGGGTATGCGAGGTCAGGTCGTGTGCAAGTCATCAGGTACATGAGGCAGCCCACAAGCTCTGGATACGGGCCACTCGGCTCTACGGACTGGTCCGAAGGTGGAGCTGAGAGCGAGTGACCGGTAGGCAGAGGAGTGGACTGTGGCGAGGAGTACGTGAAGCCGAAGCGCTGAAGGACCTGCTGCACCATGTGTGACTGAGTCAAGGTAATGGTGCGCTGTGCTCTGTCCCGGGTGATCCGCAAGCCAAGATAGCTTGTCAGCTCACCCAGGTCTGTGCACGTGTGTCTCTTCTGCAGCTCGGACTTCACGTGGGCGAGTGCCTCAGTGTCAGCATTAGCAAAGACAAGGTCGTCTACGTACACGAGAACGTAGAACGGCGGCAGAGCAGTGTCAGTGCATAAAAACAGAGAAGGGTCAGAAGTGGAAGGAGCAAAACAAAGAACAGCAAGAGTCGTCCTGAGTGTGTCGTGCCATTCATGGGGTGCCTGGCGGAGACCGTAGACTGGCCGCCGGAGGCTCCACTGGGTACCAGCAGGAAACGACCCAGTGAAGCCAGGTGGGCGGCGCAGCCAGATCTCCTCGTGCAGGCTGCCCTGGAGGAAGGCTGTGCTGAAGTCAAGCGAGTGGAGCTCGTAGTCACGCTGAGCAGCAACGTGCAGCAGTACCCGAAGAGTGGTCATCTTCGGGGTAGGGGAGAAGGTCTGAAAGAAGTCAACTCCCTGTCGCTGACTGAAGCCACGTGCAACGTAACGCGCCTTGAAGGCAGGCGGAGAACCCGGCGGCCGCTTCACCCTGAAGATCCACATGCAACTGACGATGTTCGCCCCAGGTGGGGGAACCTCGTCTACGTAGGTGCCTGTGGACTTCCAGGAAGCCATCTCTGCATCCATGGCTGCCTGCCACTGAGAGGAGTAGGGACCCTATATCGCCTCTGCGTAAGAGCGCGGGGTAGGGATGTCTGGTGCATCCGGGTCTCCCTCAGGGGCAAGCAGCATGGACACGAGATGAGGTACAGCAGCGGCAAAGCACTCAAACTCCTCCTGTCTGTCCTCAAGAACGTCCGTGCCAAGAGCACACTCACCCCCAACGGACGGAGGACAGACAGACGCAGACGCAGACTCAGCAACAAGATTAGTGGCGTAGTCCAGGCGACAGGCTGCAGCAAAGTCAACAAGCTCAGTAACAAGAGCAGACGCAGCAGTGGACTCAAACAAAGGGTCAGTGACAGCAGTGGCCAGAAAGCGCGTGACAGCTGGACTAGCAGCACGTAGGGAGTCAGACGCAGGGTCTGGACCGGCAGGAAGAGAGGACGCAGGAGGAGACGGCAGAGGGACACGCTGTGGAGCAGTGGAAGGACGCAGAGTCATAGAGTGAGTGTCAGGGACAGGAGGACGTGAAACACGACCAGCGCGAACAGTACGGACAGGCGACGCAGAACGAGACTCAGGCGACACAGGACGCGACTCAGGCTCACGACGCTCCGTAAGACCTCTAATCGGTCCAGAGTAAGGAGAAGGACCAGGCAGTGGAGAGGCCGGCTGTAACTGCGACTGGGACTGGACAGGCGGTGGACTCAGGAAAGGAGGAGTAGGACCAGGAGAAGGCGGGGAACCAAGAACCTGTTGAAGGAGTGGAACGTAGTACGGCCGCGGCCGCGCAGCGCCTCCAGAAACAGCAGAGACAGAACCGGTACCCTCAGCCCCAGTGTCTCCAGTCCCAGCAGCACCTCCAGCAGCTCCAACAGCTCCAGCACCAGCAGCACCTTCAGCAGCTCCAGCAGCCCCAGCACCAGCAGCACCGCCAGTAGCTCCAGTAGCACCTCCAGCAGCTCCAGCACCAGCAGCACCTCCAGCAGCTCCAGCAGCTCCAGCACCAGCAGCACCTCCAGCACCAGCTGCACCTCCAGCAGCTCCAGCAGCACCTCCAGCACCTCCAGCAGCACCAGCACCAGCAGCACCTCCAGCAGCTCCAGCAGCACCAGCTCCAGCAGCACATGCAGCACCTCGACGGCGCCGAGAGTACCACTCACGAAGCTGTTGTGGAGAGAGGGGCTCCCGCCGCGACGGGACACCTAGAGCACCTCCAAGCTCAGCACGCGCAGGCTCAGCACCTCCAGACGCAGTACCCGCAGGCTCCACATGCCCAGGCTCAGCACCCCCAGGCTCAGCACGCCCAGATTCAGCACCCCCAGACTCAGCACCCCCAGGCTCCACACGCTCAGGCTCAGCACCCCCAGTCCCCGCACCCCCAGTCCCCGCACCCGCAGGCTCAGCACCCCTAGCAGCACCTGAGTCGACAGCTACCTCGACCGGCTCGGCAGGGCCTACCTGGGACACACCTGAGGGGGCAGGACCCTGGGGGGGGAGGGGGTCTACCGGGGGAGTACCTGGTGCTAGGAAGAGCGGCGGCGGGGGGAGAGAGCCAGTGCGGTAGGGAAAGAGACGGTAGTATGACACCGACTCGTCAAACGTGACGTCCTGAGAGGACAGAATACGACGCGAGGTGGGGTGGTAGAACTGCCACCCGGGTGCGTCAGGAGGGAAGCCAAGGAAGACACTGGGAACGACACGGTAGGAGAGCTTGTCCGCTGAAGTATCGCGGACAAAAGCTCAAGATCCCCAGACACGGAACGCGGACGCATCACCAACCTTCCCCGTCCACCGCAGAGTAGGTGTGGTCTCCGGCAAGGAGACACAAGGCTGAAGGTTGATCTGATGCGCAGCGTACTGAACCGCGAACGGCCACAGAAAATGGGGAGCAGCCGCATGGATCATGGACGTACGAGCGACGTCCATGACCATGCCAATGCGGCGCTCAGCAATCCCATTTTGTTGTGGGGAGGCCGGAAGCGTGAACGTCTGGCGGATGCCCTCCGCACGACAGAACGCCCTCAGGAGGTCGGAGGAAAACTCACCACCTTTGTCTGAGTGCAGACGCAGAACAGGAAGGTCCGAGCCGAAACTCTCGCGGAGCTGGCGATGAGTACCGCGGATCCAGTCGATCAACACCTCAGGGACCTCACCCTTGCTGCGCAAGAGGAAGACTGTGGTGTAACGCGAGTAGTCGTCAACGACCAGCAGGAAGTAACGCTCGTGACCCTGTCCCTGGATGCGGGCTGGGCCCCACACGTCCATGTGAAGAGTCTGCAGAGGAGCCTCAGTCGGAGGGAACGTGGAGGAGTGAGGAGCGGCGCGCTGCCGTCCCTCGACACAGTGAACACAGGTAGGGGCAGGCCCCGGAGTAAGGGGAGGGAGGGACCGGGGTAGACCTGAGACAAGGGTACGGGAGGCCATACCTCGAAGACGAGGCAGGGAGGGGTGACCAAGGCGGTGGTGCCAAAGAAGATTCTCGTGCGACAGAGGACGACACGAGCAGGGGGCAGACGCAGGACTAGACCTGGACGCGGCAGCAAACACCTGACTAGACGTAGAGACCGGAGGAGGTGCAGTAGTCAGTGTGTACAGACTCGACCCTGGCCTACGGGTGAACGTCGCCAGGTGGCGGTCCGTGCGAGAGCAAGTGCAGTGGGTCACACGCTGACCTCCAGGGGCGAACTGGTCAACCCACGCATCCTGGAGGTCAGCTCCACTCACCAAGTTCGTAGAGAACGAGGGGAGGTGGAGTCCCGACAGCAAGCCCGACGGGGCCGCAGGACACGGTAGAACCGTGGAAGAGTGCGCAAGGACTGGGCCCCTAGAGGGGTCAGCAAGGGAGACTGCGACAGGTCGACTGAGCGGCGTGAGTGTGGTGCTGTCTCTAAAGAAAGAGCGCGAAGCACCAGAGTCAAGTGTGAAAGTGTGCAAGGCCTCAGTAGGTGCAGTACCAGAGAGAGGAGACTCACCAGCACCTGGAGCAGCAAACTCACCAGTACCTGGAGCAGCAGACACACTAGCACATAGAGCAGCAGCCGCAATGCCCGGGTCGGGCGGGACACTCAGGTAACAGTCACCCTCAGCACTATCAGACAAAGCATACATGGCAGCAAGGATAGCATCGAAATCAAGATCAAAGATAGGCACATGCTGCAGAAGCAGATCATGCCAGCGAGGGAGCTCAACAGCGTCAGGAAACTGGGCACGCCAGGCGTCAGTCAAGCGACCGAAGCAGCGCTGCGTAGTGTGTGGCAGCCCACACGCCTCCCCACAACGACTGCCAGTGCGAAGAACGTAAGTGCAGGGACCAGCACCCCCAGACCTCCAACGCCCAGCGTACCACTCACGAAGCTGCTGGGCCGACGGGGTCTCACGGGAGCGCGGCTGCTGCTGGCTCTGGCTACTACCAAAGCCTCCATGCTGCGCGGCTGCACCTCGACCAGCACCACCGCTGCCGCCACCTCCACCACCGCTGCCGCTGCCTCCACCACCTCCACCGCCGCCACTGAAGCCCCCACTCCCGGTACCACCCCCACCTCCACCGCCACCCCCTCCGCCTCCTCCACCTCCTCCACCGCCTCCCCCGCCGCCCCCTCCACCACCCTTGCTCCCCTTGCCCTTGCTGTTGCGGCGTCTCCCACTAGGGGCAGACACAGCTCCGACCTCCTCAGTGCCAACGAGGTCGACAGCAGCAGCAGAAGCAACAGAGGGGAGAAGGGGGACAGGGGAACACCCCTCAAAGAAAGGGGTGCGACGGTCGCCGCGAGAAGCACCTACAGCTAAGATACTCTTCTCAGCTGCAGCAAGGCGCTCCTCTAGCATGTTGACAGTCAGCTCGGTGGGGCAAAGGGAGAGAAAGTGGTCCCTGACTGAAGAAAGGGAGTCAGGGAGGCGGGTGACTAGGTAGTAAAGGGTGATGTACATGGGGGGGGGGGGTTCTTGGCACAGAACTCAGTGGGAAGGGCAGTGCGGTAGCGGGCGTCACTAGTGCGGAGGTGAGCAACTAGGTCAGCGACTGTGGCAAAGGCGGCAAGGTTAGGGAAAAGGTACGGCAACATGAGGCGGCTGAGGGCAGCAGTGGCAGGGGAGGAGTAGCGCGCAACTACAGCGTCGTACAAAGACTGAGCAGGCTTGTACTGGCCAAAATGCGTGCGCTCAGCAGGCGGCAGATGACTACGAACAGCAAGACGAGCAACAGCGTCACGAGTGGTCCACTGCGAGCGAACCGTACTGACAGCAGTGGCAGCAGGAGCAGTAGAAACACCGGACGTGTGATCGAAAAGGGATACCCCATCCCTAGAATCACACTGAAGAAAGAGCTGCAGGTCGTCAACCCACACGTCAAAGTGAACTGCACGTCCCTCAGCATCAAAGGTGAGAACAGTAGGGCTAGCCATAGCAGCAGTAGGAGCAGTAGAAGCAGAGGCAGCAGTAGCAGCAGCAGCAGCAGAGGCAGCAGTGGCAGCAGTGCAGGCAGGGCAGTGCAGCTCAGTAGGGCGGCGCGGCTCGGTAGGGCGGCGCGGCTCGGCTAGGCGGCGCGGCTCGGTAGAGCAGCGCAGCTCGGCTGGGCGGCGCGGCTCGGCTGGGCGGCGCGGCTCGGCTCCTGGCGGCGCGGCGTAGCAGGGCGGCGCGGGTGCTTACCAGGGGCGGGTGCAGGCAGGGCTGCGACTGGGGCGGCAGCAGGGCATGGCCGCAGCTGCAGGGCAGGGCCGCAATGGGCGGCAACAGGCAGGGCCGCAACGGGCCAGTGACGGGCCAGCGACGGGCGGCGACAGGCCAGCGACGGGCGACGACGGGCCGGCGACGGGCGGCAACGAGCCGGGACAGGCCGGCGACGGGTCTGAACGGGCCGGGACGGGCCAGTGGCGGCGGCGAAGGCAGGGCCGCGGGGCAGGGCCGTAGCACGCGGCAAAAACAGGGCCGCGACTAGTGGCTTAGGGCCAGCGACGGGCGGCTAAGGGCCGCGACGGGCAGTGAAGGGCCGTGACGGGCCCCAAAGGTAGGGCCTTGATGGGCCTCGAAGGCAGGGCCGCGAGGGGCGGCACTAGGGTAGGGCCGCAATGGGCCTCTAAGGCAGGGCCGCGACGGGCGGCACTAATCTAGGGCCGCGACGGGCCTCTAAGGCAGGTCCGCGACGGGCCTCTAAGGCAGGGCCGCGACGGGCGGCACAAGGGCAGGGCGCGCGACGGCGCAGGTGAAACAGGCGCGAGGCGCGCTTCGGGCAGGGCAGGAAAAAAAATCGTGGTGGGCCCAAAAAAAACGTTCCCACTAGGGAACCTGCTCAGAATACCATGTTAGAATTATGAGCGAATGAATGACTGAACTAGAAAGCAGGTGGGTACATATAGGAAACCTAAAAGTATTGTACCCTGTAAGAACTACCCCACTACAGCCTAAACAGACTATAGCATATAAGTTTGACAAGATAGCGCTAGGCCTTAAGTACAAACAAAAGTTGGGTTGGTCAAGGTCAGGGAATGGATGTGATGGAAATTAAATCAGATCTATATAGTGAGTTGGCCAGTTGGTTGAGTTACGGAGGAATCGCAGCCAGATAGGGCTGGGATTACAAATCTGCACCCAACCTACAAATGACGTACGTGATATAAAATGTAGTACACAATATGTTGATAGCATATTCCTAACACTGTTGACTAGCGTTGACCCACCTGTTGACCAGCGTTGACCCACCTGTTGAATTGCGTTGACCCACCCACCTGTTGACTCGCGTTGACCCACCTGTTGACTCGCGTTGACCCACCTGTGCTCGCAGCACATCACTCTCCCTCTCCACGACCTCCCCAGGCACGTCCTCCCGCCTCAAATACAACGGCTTCATTACACACACGTGCATTGCCAGTCCCCCTGCCACTGCTTGCGTTGGCACTCTGCAACCTTCCCAGCTGCTGCTGCTGGCGTCAGGCGGCTCATAATGTGAGAGTGTGAAAAGACCAGCTACCCGGCCCAAGCCAAATCCGGGGCTGCCGCGCGGGTGCGTGGCCACGGTCACCGTGCCAAACGGCTGAGGCGCAGTAAGCCGGAAGGCTCGCCACCAGCGCACGTTCTCCCCTGTCAGCGCTGCCACCTCAGCCACCGCCTCTGCCAGCTAGCGGCTTCCCGACAGTTTTGGGTGGTCAAACCACACTGTGGCTTGCTGGTGGTGGGTGGGAATGAGGGACAGGGTTGGCGAGGGGAGTCAAGTAAGGCGAGCAGTACAAATGTTGTTGCCGTGTTGCTGCCATGTCAGCCAGTGTCTCTGCCTGACAGCAGCCTGCTCGCAGACAGGTTTTGGTATTCAAACAACACCGTGGCTTTCAGGTGCTGCAAGGAACGTGAGAGAAGAGGATAGGAGGGTGGGGTGGTGTGAGGGGTGGGGGGACGACGTGAGTGTCCATGCAAGTGAGAAGAAGCAAGTGAGGGAGCATGTGGGTCGGACCATGCGAGTGAGGGAGATTGGATGTCCACTTGAAATGGGAGGGAGGGCAAGTGAAGGGAAGGCAAACTCACAAACACCACGCCGCCAACCACTGCCATGCAAACTATTGTAATGTTATTTAATGTCACACTCACCTCAAGGCTCGCAAGAGGGAGAGGAAGAGGGCGATAAGGAGGAGGCGGGGGGAGAGGAGGAGACGGGGAAAACGTTCAATGCTGTAGCTGCTACCTTAGAGACCTGCAGGGTGGGAGCGATGGGAAGGAGAGTGGAGGGAGAGAGGAGAGAGAGAGAAGCGATAGATTGGAGGGTGGAGAGGAGTATGGGAGGAGGGATGACAGGAGGGGTAAGAGGAGGGATGAGAGGCGGAGAGAGGGGGGGGTTGAGAGGTGGGGTGAGACATTGGACGGATGTGATGTGATGTGAGGCGGTGGAAAGGTTTGGCCCATGTGGGGGTAGAAAAAGATGGGGCCCATGGGCGAAAGGGTATACTTGGGAGCCCCCCGAGTCCTCTCAGCCCGTCTGTGTGGCATAGATACAATAACGCACTCGCCCAGCATTTGAAGTAACCAACTTCACCCTTTTCTTCAGATATTTGTTTTTCGTCGGGCTCTCGCTCCTCTGCTTCTTCTCCACTTCGCAGGCCAGCTTACAGGTCGACTCGTGAACCCCCACTCACTTGCGTGCACCTGAAAGGGTCGTTCCTGCTAGCAAGTGTAGTGTAGGCATCAACGTGAAGGCTCGTGCTTCACGGCTCAAACACAGCCCCAACAAGTGGCACTCACAAGCATCTAAAAGAGGTCGCAGCGTGCAACGAGGTCCATCTCGCTGTTCACCTCCATCGCCGCCCCCATGCCCCACCGCAACGCCATGCCCACCAGCCCCTCCGCTGCCACCCACGCCTTGACGTCCTTCACCGGCACGCCAGCGCGCGCGCGGAGCTCCTTGATCGCCGCGAGGTTCCCCCCTCTGCCGGATGCTTCCACCGCTCCTGCTACCCCGGCCCCAGCTTGCGCGCAACACCCGGCGCTGCTGCTGGTGGCGGAGAACGCGCGGGAGGTGGCGAAACGCAAGGCGGCGGCCCAGGGGAGCAGTTTGGCGTGCAATAGATGGTCGCTGACGTCACTGACACACTTGGAGATCGCTGATGACGTCATTGATGCTTGAATCTGGACAAATGGACGCAAAGGTGATGGCAGCGCCTGGCCGCACGCACGCGCGTGGCGGGGCAAGAGGTCGAGGTACTAGAGGCAGTGGAGGCAGCGGAGGAAGCGGAGAGAAGCAGGGAAGCGGCGAAGCGGGGAAACGGGGAATCAGAGAAGTGGGGAAACGGAGAATCGGGGAACCAGGGAAGCGGGGAGGCGGGGAAGCGGGGAGGCGGGGAAGCGGGGAGGCGGGGAAGCGGGGAAGCGGAGAAGCAGGGAAGCGGGGAAGCGGAGAAGCGGGGAAGCGGGGAAGCAGGGACGCGGGGAAGCGGGGAAGCGGGGAGGCGGGGAAGCGGAGAAGAGGGGAAGCGAGGAAGCCGAGAAGTGGGGAAGCGGGCTGTGTAATATCTCAATCCACTCACCTGGTCTCGATACGTCGAACCAGCTGTGAGGGGGAAATGTGAGGAAACATGATTGGTTGAAATTTGAATGGAAGCGAGACTTGAGTTGGAATTGACTTGATTGGAAAACTAGCCAATCAGAACTCTGCTATACAATTGTGACAGAACCTACGCGATAGGTTTGAAAACAACCCATGTAAGTTCACACATCACCCTTGTCCAACCAATCAAAACATACTCACACAAAGTGAATTGACGGAACTTCCGCCGCTGGTTAGAAATAGAACCAATCAGAAACAGCCAACCTAAATCCAACTCGACTCTTCCTTGAAATTGCAACCAATGCAACAACTCAGTTTTGTGATAAGTGTGCATTGTTATCTTTGCTGTCTATGATCTAAATGGTTGGAAATCCCAACCATTGCCATATGGGCAAGGCCCATGGTGGTGCACCCTTCCTTGCCATGGGGAAGGTGGCTGCACCCCAAGGGGGTCTAGGGAAGGTTCTGAGCCTTTCCAGGCTCATTCTTCATTTCCTATCCCCAACTAATCAATTGGAAAAGAGGATTTCTCTCTCTCTCTCTCTCTCTCTCTCTCTCTCTCTCTCTCTCTCTCTCTCTCTCTCTCTCTCTCTCTCTCTCTCTCCCACAAATTACCTTCCAGAGTTTGTTACTGCATTTCCCAGCACTCTCCAGACTTGGTAGATTTCATGAGCTACTATTCTCTGTTTTGTACTGGAACCTATCTATATATGGGTAAATGCCCTTTTAATTAGCAGATCAGTTACATCGGTATTCAGAGCTTTAGGGAGATCCCCTCCTTGTGGGCATCCAAGAAAATTTCTGGATTTTATTTTTCTTGGAAATACTATTTTTTTCATTGTATTTTTCTTATTATAAACCTGTGAAGACTACAAGCTACTCTAGCTCAAGTCTTCAAATCTGCAAGCTTCTCCAAGTCTTCTGCTCCCTCCCTCCCTCCCTCCCTGTTGGTGGAACTTTTGGAGCCACTGTGAAGAAGTTGGTTATTGGCAACCTATGTGGATTAACCTTTTCTGTTGAAGACAATCACTTTGTGATTGCTCTTGCCTTATCCACTGCGGTGGTAAGGATATTTTGCAACAGAGTGGGTTTTCACACTGCTGTAGTTGTAATTTCTATTGAAGAAATTTCTCCTTTGGAGAAAATCTTGGTTATTCACTTCGGTGATAACAATTTGCAGTAGATCTGTAACTTATTTCATAATACAGTGATTATGTTCTTCATGGCTTCTACCAACTCCAATGCTGGTGGTGTTGAAGGCACCAACTCCCATCCTGAACTGGAAGCTTGTGTGCAGAAGATTGACCTGAACAACATGGATGAGGAAATGGCTGAAAAGGAACCTGCTGAAAACTCCCCTGCTAAGAACCCTCTAGCTGCTGAAAATTCCAAGGAGCAGGAAGAGGAGTCTCAAGAGGATGACATTGAGTTGGAAGGGGAAGAGGACATTCTGCATGTTGAAATTGCTAAGCTGCAGGATCATGTTGTTGAGCAGGATACGCGCATCCAGCAGCAGCAGTCACTCATTACCAACCTCAAGAGGGAGCTCTTTGACCAGGACAACAAAATCAAGTACCTGGAAGTTGAGCTTAAGAACATGAAACACGACGCACGGGAGCACGTTCATCAGTTGGCGAGACAGACTTCAAAGATCAACGAGCTGCATGAGGCTTTCAGGGCCCTACGAAGGGAGACCATGTTTTGCCCTGCACCACGAGCGGACCCGCCTGCCAACTCTACTAGCGGGCGCACCCACCCTTCTCGCTCTGGTGGTGTGGCGGGTGACCCCGGACCTTCTACGCAGCGTGCTGCTGAGCTGAACATGCAGGTTTTTTGCTCTCTGCCAATTACCCTCCCGCCATTCATCCATGGCAAGACGGATATGGCAGCATGGTTGTCGATGATGACCGACCTGTTCAAGGCTCACAAGGTCCATGACGACGCTCGCGTCATCGCTGCCACCACCGTGCTGGACCAGAATGCACAGCGAGTGGTGTATGGCAGCAAGATCCAGGCTGAGGCGGATAGTAAGCCGTTTGGGTGGGAGGAATTCGCCTCTGCACTCAAGCAAGCTTTCCAGGTCCAGCCGACCCAGCTGGAGGTGCGCATTTGCCTTGAGAAGCTGCAGTGCGGGAACCGCACAGTTCAGCAGTACGCTGTGGAGTTCGAGGAGATCTGGGTGCTGCAGAAACCGGCGGAACGTATGAGCGAAGGCAAGAAGATCCACCTCTTCTTCAAGGGCCTGCCTGAGCACCTCCAGAGCATGCACATGACGGATGGGGCTGGGGAGTCGTGGAGGTCCTACGATCACGTGAAGCGCATGGTGGGGACCACTGATAAGCATTTCCGTGCTTATGCGAAAACTACTACCCAGCCGCAGCAGGCCTCAATGCCGTCGTCTAGCCCTGCGGGTCCTAGCGGAAGGCAGCAGGCAACGCCTTGGAAGGGCGGGAACCACAAGAGGCCTTTCTAGCAGGGACAGCAGGCTGACCACAAGGCCAAGAAGGTCAGCGAGGGTGGACCAAGCAATGTCCAGAGCTGCTTCAAGTGCGGCAAGCCTGGACACAAGGGCTACGAGTGCGGCCACCGCAAGTCGGTGAAGTACTATGGCAAGCCCAAGACACACAACAAGCGCCATGATGGCAGTGGCCCCTCGGGCGGCCAGCGGGATTTTGCAAAGCCCAACTAGGGGGTGGGTACCTAGCGGGCATAGTAGATCTAGAGGATGAGGTAGTGGTCCTGCGGGATGAGGAGTTGTTGAAACTCGAGTGCCTTGTTGATTGCAAAATTGGATGTCTGTATGTATTTTCTTTTAATAAAAGTTCGTTGTTTGCCTCTCGATTTCACCCACTGGAAAAAAACACAGCTGAATCATTACGAGATAAATTCTCAATTATTTTTTGTGATCACCAAAATTTGCCTTGGATAATGAATGTGGTGGGTCGTTGCACCAAAGTGCACCCTCTAACTGCGGTTGGAATGGTAACGCACACAATTCAAGGTAAACTGTTTCGAGCACTTCAAGGATGGAGCGTGTTAGCGCAGTGGGATAAAGGACACCATGTATGGTGGACTCAGGCCCGTTCTTTTGGACGTAGCAAGCACGGCATTAAGGCGTATTACTTGCCTCCCACTAATATTACAGCATGTCCTATCCGACCCAAACATCAGCAAAACCTTTTATTTTCGGGTCGCGTAAATGGACGCAGTGCCTTGATCTTGGTTGATACATGTGCAACCGCGTCATTGATCGATGAGAAGTGGATGGGATATTTGAATGTTCCTGATCAAGGACCATCTTGTTCTATCCGCCTGGGGGATGACAGGATCATCCCATGCAGAGGACATGCGTTGGTCAACCTGGATATCCAAGGATATCAAGAGACCATCCGCGTTTTTGTCTTACCCCTCCTAGAAGGCGTAGACATTATCTTGGGAATGAATTGGCTGCGGCCTAATGGGGTGATATTAAATTTCCAAGATAACACGCTTTCATTCACAAAGAATGGGACGATGTTTCAATGGCAAGTCCCAAGGCACCAAGCACTGGACGACAAACCTCAAACTTTAGCTATTGATGTGCGCTTTGCATCGGCTCTCCAATTCAAAGAGCATGTCAAGGGAGCTGATACACTTTTTGTGGTACAGCTAGACTCTGAACCAACAACTTCACAGATTATTGAGGACTTCCCACCTCAAATGAAGGCGTTGGCAGAGGAATATTCTGAGGTTTTCAAGCCAATTCCAGATAGGTTCCCTCCCGAACGTGCAGTCGGCCACACCATCCTGGTGGAACCAGGGAAGGCACCACCATTTAGACCTCTGTATCGCCTCAGTCCCGCTGAGTACGAGGAGGCTAAACAAAAGATTGAGGAATACCTCAGGAAGGGATGGATAGAACCCAGCGCGTCCCCATATGGAGCACCTATCTTGTTTGTTCACAAGAAAGGAGGTGGACTGCGCATGTGCATCGATTATAAAAAATAGATATCCACTTCCGCGGATAGAAGATCTATTTGATCGACTACAGGGTGCGCAATGGTTCAGTGTGTTAAAATAACGAGAATGATGCATTCGTTGAAAGGGGGGGGGGGGTACAAGTAGGATGTCGAGAGAAATTCTGTACCCCCTAAGGCTAAACCCACTACAGCCTAGAGAAATATAAACATATATGTTTGACACACCCCCATAGGCGAAGTGGGGGATAGCAAGAGCAAGCAATGGTCACAAGACCAGTCAAGAGAAGAAGCAAAGCAAAGCAAGCTCAGGGTGGATCACAAAGTCACCACATAGTCCGAGCACAAGCAAAGGGCCACAAGGCCAGTTCACATGCAGAGTTATATAAAGAGAACAAACAATACAGTGATCATACCCTAGCAAGTGCAAGCATGCAGGTATATATATAGATCACAGTACAAGCAGAGTCAGGCAGTAAGCAACTGAGGCAAAGTAGGCACAAGGCCTAACACAGTAACAAAGCGCTGATGATCACCAGGCGGAAGTGCCTTGGTGAAGACAACAGCAATGTTGGCCCAAGTGGCCACGTACGCAAGACGAAGCTGGCCACGCTGCTGCAACTCTCGAGCAAGGAAGTATCGCAGAGCGATGTGCTTCGTTCTATGCTCCTGGCACAAGGCAATCATGGCCTTGTTGTCCACGTACAGAACTGGTGGCGAACGAGGCTGCTCTCCCAAGTCGGTCAGCAGGTAGGTGAGCCAGCGTAGCTCCAGAGCAGCCATGGCCCCGGCGTAGATCTCAGCCTCACAACTGGAGCTGAGAACCGAAGACGAGCGGGTAGACCGCCAAGAAACAGAGCCGGAACCGAGGCTGAACGTGTAACCCTGTGACGACCGCTGAGTACCTGAGTCATCAACCCAAGAGGCGTCTGCGTGACCAGTGAGGACAACTGGACCCCGTCCTCCAAGCACAAGCCCCATTCCTGACGTACTACACAAGTAACGCAGTACCCTCTTCGCAGCATCCCAGTGCACCTTTCGGTGCCTGCCGAGAGCCACGTAACGAGCCAGAAGGCTGAGAGGGTACGCGAGGTCGGGTCGAGTGCACGTCATCAGGTACATGAGGCAACCCACAAGCTCTGGGTACGGACCACTCGGCTCTACGGACTCGTCCGAAGGTGGAGCTGAGAGCGACTGGCTGGTAGAAAGAGGAGTGGGCTGTGGCGAGGAGAACTGGAAGCCGAAGCGCTGAAGGACCTGGTGCACCATGTGTGACTGAGTCAGAGTGATGGTGCGCCGTGCTCTGTCCCGGGTGATCTGCAAGCTAAGGTAGCTGCGCAGTTCACCCAGGTTAGTGCAGGTGTGTCTCTTCTACAGCTCCGACTTCACAAGGGTTAGTGCCTCAGTGTCAGCAGCGGCAAAGACGAGGTCGTCGACGTACACGAGGACGTAGAACGGCGTCAGCGAGGTGTCGGCGCGTAGAAACAGCGACGGGTCAGCAGTAGAAGGAGTAAACCCCAGAGCCGCAAGTGTAGTCCTCAGTGTGTCGTGCCTCTCTCGAGGTACCTGGCGGAGACCGTAGACTGGCCGCCGGAGGCTCCACTGGGTACCGGCAGGAAACGACCCAGTGAAGCCAGGTGGGCGGCGCAGCCAGATCTCCTCGTGCCGGCTGCCCTGCAAGAAAGTTGTACTGAAGTCCAGAGAGTGCAACTCGTAGTCACGCAGAGCTGCGACGTGTAGCAACACCCGAAGAGTAGTCATCTTCGGGGTGGGGGAGAAGGTCTGGAAGTAGTCAACTCCCTGTCGCTGGCTGAAGCCTAGAGCAACGTAATGCACCTTGAAGGCAGGCGGAGAACCCGGAGGCCGCTTCACCCTGAAAATCCACATGCCATTGACTATGTTCGCCCTAGGTGGGGGAACCTCGTCAACGTAGGTGCATGTGGACTTCCAGGATGCCATCTCGGCATCCATAGCTGCCTGCCACCGAGAGGAATAAGGACCCATAATCGCCTCTGCGTAAGAGCGCGGGGTCCGGATGTCTGGAGCATCCGGGTCTCCCTCAGGGGCAAGCAGCATGGAAGCGAAATGAGGTACAGCAGCTGCAAGACACTCGAAGTCCTCCTAAATGTCCTCAAGACGTCCGTGCCAAGAGCACACTCACCCCCGACGGACGGAGGACTGGCAGACACAGACTCAGCAACGAGAGTGTCAGAATATTATGTTTCTCTAGTCTGCAGTGGAGTACTCAATAGTGAGTACAACCCTATTAGGGTTTCCTATATGTACTCAATTGCTTTCTAGTGCATTCATTCCTTCTCGTTTCATTCTCGATTCTCACATGGTATAGAGCTGCTTTTTCGATCCTTGGGCCCACCACTGAAACTGAAACTGTAACTTTTTTTTCCTCACCTTCCTGCCGCGCGCGTCGCGCCTACCCTTAAGGCCCCGTGAGGCCCCGTCAGGCCCCGTTTACGGCCCCGTAAGGCCCCGTTTACGGCCCAACTTACGGCTCCGTACAGCCCCTTAAGGCCCCGTCGGCCCCGTTTACGGCCCCGTCAGGCCCCGTCGGCCCCGTTTACGGCCCCGTAAGGCCCTGTACGGCCCCGTTAGGTCCCGTAAGGCCTCGTTTACGGCCCCGCGTAAGGCCCCGTAAGGCCCCATCGGCCCCGTTTACGGCTCCGTTAGGCCCCGTAAGGCCCCGTTCGGCCCCGTAAGGCCTCGTTTACGGCCCCGCTTAAGGCCCCGTATGGCCCCGTAAGGCCCCGTTGGCCCCGTTTATGGCCCCGTAAGGCCCCTTAAGGCCCAGTTAGGCCCCGTAAGGCCCCGTTTACGGCCCCGCTTAAGGCCCCGTAAGGCCCCGTAAGGCCCAGTCCGGCCCCGTTAGCGGCCCCGTCAGGCCCCGTAAGGCCCTGCTCCGGCCCTACCCCGACCTGTCGCGGCCCTGCTGCGGCCCCGTCGCAGCCCTGTCCCGGCCCCTTCTACGGCCCTGCTCCGACCCGGCCCCGGCTCTGCCCCTACCCTGCCCCTGCCCTGCCCTTGCCCTGCTCCTGCACTGCTGCGGCCCGGCCCCGGCCCTGCCCCGGACCTGTCGCGGCCTCGCCCCGGCCCTGCCCCGGCCCTGCCCCGGCTCTGCCCCGGCCCTGCCCCGGCCCTGCGCCGCCCCTGTCCCGAGCCTGTCACGGCCCTGCCCCGACCCTGTCGCGGCCCTATCGCGGCCCTGCCCCTGCCATGCCCCGACCCTGCCCAGGCCCCGCCCCCCTCATGCCGGTCGTGGCGCACCAGGGGCCCGTGCACCGCCCCCCCCCCCTTTTCCTGTCGCCTTACGTGGCGACCCGGGGGGGGGGGGGGGCACGCTCCTGCTCCTCCTCCTACTCCGTCTCCCACTGCTGCAGCTGCCGCTGAGGGGGGTGGGTGTGAGTGAACCTAGGGGTGTAGCAGGGGGTGTGTGAATGGGGGTTGCGGCAGTAGAGGAAGGTTGGGTGGAGGTAGCTGTCGTGTTGCTAGCAGTGCCAGTAGT